TTTAACTCTTAATATTATTATATTTAATTAATATGTAATATAAGATAATGATATACAAACAATTTATTTATATAAATTTTAGTTATAGTTTTTATATGTTATTAAATTAATAATTATATATAATATTATAAAAAAATATTATTAAATGACATGATAAGTTGTATAATAAAATTCTCACTTAATTATTTTCTCATAATATATGTTAAATTGATGAATTTAGAAATATAATTTATGTAAAGGTTACATGTGTGAGTAGGTATAAGATCAATTGGTTAAGAATATAGAAACTGAGACCTTGTAAATTGATAGGGTTTCTGTACACTTTGTACTTAATTACTAAATAATCTTTAATTTCTTTGGTTATAAATAATCTTTGATATAGATAGGCAGGTCCATACTCCGAACTAATGGTATCAGCATTAGTAAAAGGTGCATGACACTTGGGAATATAAATTTAAAGAAGAAGGAGGAGGAATCAATAAATTTAAGAAGAAGAAGAAGAAGAATAAGGAATCAAAAACAAGAAGGAAATGGCCGTACCAGTTTCCACTGATACGGATTCGAAAAGGTTAATCAGAAGGGTGGTCTCAGGCTGTTTATTCTTAATTGTTCCCAAATTTTCATCCAGTGTTTGCATGAAAACATCACGCAAATTTTATTGGCTCTTTTTTTATTTTTTTAAATTAAGGGCCAGATATTTGATATAATATGTATATATTTGTCTGTAAAATTTTTATAATTACAATATCATGTAATATTATATATTATATATATACATTCATTTATTATCATATTATTATTATAAATTTACAATTTTACATCAAATTATAATTATATTATTTTTGATTTGTGTGATATCATACGAACAATGTAAAATTTATAATTCATAATGATTTTTATTGTCAAAACAACCGGCTAGCAAAGGATATATATTCATGAAGTTAGCTCATCATTTATTTAATTATAGTAGCTAGAATTTCATCAAAATAATCTCTGATCAGTCATAAACCCATGTAATCACGATTTAATTGGCATTTGATGATTATTAGCAAAGTATGA